CAATGATAAAAAGGTATGAACCAACAAAAATGTTGATTGATGAGGGAGTCAGGGCCTTGGCACATCTAAGAATATTGATTTTAATAAAAGAGAGATTAGGACCCACAATGCATTCCTTGTCAACGTCAATAAAAACACCCACCAAATTAGTTAGATGTTGAAAGATTCCCATATTCCAAGCATGGAGAGGGATACCTTCGACCCAACAAGGGAAGCATGGAGTGGTATTCACGTGATCCCGCAGTTTCCAAGAATCCACCGATAAGAGTTTATTTTGCACACACCATGTGATGCGAATAAGGAGGACTTTACAAATGTCATCAGCAGAGGAAAGAGAAAAAACGATCATATTTCTCCCAAAAGAACTGACCACAGGGGAGTAAGGTAGATTGCAGGCTCTCTTAGCCCAAGAGCTAAGACCCCAAATATCAGTAGAAGGTGGGGGGAAAAAACCGGTAACAAGAAGAGCAATGGCTTTAAGAGATTCAAAAAGAAAGAAGGGAGGTAATAGAAAGGCTTGGGAGATGAAGATCCATCTAGAGTCAGGGAACTTCACGAATCATCCATGGATGGCTACCTTCCCTTGAGCATCACTCCCTCTCTCACTTTCTCTCTCTAAAGCTTGTTCGACCATGCAACTATCGTTGGGTGTCTCCAACGATCGCCTCAGTGCAAAGGTTCTTGAGTAAGGAGTTAAAGGCATGCAAAGGAATGATCAGTTAGGGGAGTATGTAAAATGGTATGTCGGACCACACCACACATTTATTTTACACCTCCAACACCAAATTGAAAGATTTGTAAAGGCTTTTTCAAATTGTCCCTAATTTAATGAACACGAATATACGCACGCAAACACTCACACATAGAAACTACTATTAGGTTGGCATTGGATTCCTGTAGTCATCTCGGTTGGCTTCTCAGCTATTGGATCTAGATCGGGTTGTCGAGAGTGCATATCAGTTAATTCAATTTCAATTTTTTTACACATTGAATTGACTTCAAATTTAGGGTGTGTATACTTATCACCCTTTCTTGAACGTATATGGCCTTTCGAGGCCTCAATACCATTATACTCATACTCGCTTATGGCTACAATGCACAAACGTGCACCCGAAAGGGGCTCAATTTTGGGTGACCTACCCAGCCTATGCAGTCTAAGGCCCCGGATGTGGGGATTTGGCTCAAGGCCCATGTAGGTACTAATGACGATTTGCGGTTATCACTTGTCTAGGTCAAAGATGTTCTCATGGTTTGGCCAAAGGGTAGAGAGGAACCTTCACATGGGAGACTGCGTGTACGGACAAGGGCTAAAGCTTGACCATCATCTGCCCACAGCACGTGCATATCACAATTGCAACTTGAGAAGCCTCCTTCTCTATGGAAGTTCTCGAGAAGGCTGTGCAAATGTGCATGAGAGAGGAAACCCCTCCTCTTAAGTGTGTTATTTGATTTGTCCTCGGGGTGCACTTAAAATCCATTTTAGAATATGGAATCTTACCATCTATTGTTCAACGTTGACAGATAAAACATGAATCCTTGTGTAAAATTGTGGATCATGGTTATGTTAAGTAGATCCGAGAAAGTGGTGATGGCTTTCATGTTAAGTCGAGTGAAATGTCCTGGCAGTATGTTTTTCGAGCCCTAGGTACCTGATTTCTCTCCATAGTTTTTTAGACTCCCAAAGCCCCAAAACCTTTTGAAAAACATATAAGTAATTTTTAGGGATTTTTAGAAATTTTTAAATAATTTTTTGAGTCCAAAATAGCCTAACAAACTTGGTTTAATTAAATACCAAATAAAAACACTTGACACACATATGGCCCAAGTGGCCAGTGACCACATATGTATTCAAGATGTCCACCACGTGGGGTCCACATGGTTCTAGCATCAGCCTTGACATGAACCATAGAGCAGCCCATTAGTTTTGTCCGTGCTTGGTCGTACACTTATCGTGTGTATGATGTTTAAAAGGTAAGGGGACCACTTAACACATGTGAAAAAGATACTTTTTCTTTAAGGGGCATTTGTTATATTTATCTAACAATTTTGTAATTTTAGCCTCCAAAGTGATACATATCACATAGGCAATGGTCCACGTAGATGACATAAGGCTTGTTTTTATTGTTCAAATACATGGGAGGCCATGTAAATTGATTAAGTTCAAGGGAATATATGTGTCACATTTAAACTAGAACCAATACGAGGCATCCAAAATGAGAGAGTGCCGAAACCCCTAAACTGTTGTGATACGTCTTTGGGCAAAGATGTCTTCTCTAGAGATATCGGTCCCTTCTAAGCAGGGATAGCAATGGAACCGGACCCAACTCGGGACCCAAGGGGTAGACCCGATCAGGGTCTAGTTATGGATTCAAAAATTAGATCCGGCGGGTTGGATCTAGGTCTAAATCTTGGACCTGAACACTATTCAAGTCCAGATCCATGATAATATTTTTGGATCCTAATATATGAAATATAATTAAATACATAGATAGTTTAAAATTATTGGGACGGGTCCGGGTCTAGATCTATATCCCACATTATACGGGTCTGGTGAAGTTAGATCCGGTCAAGTATGGGTCCGGGTCATATATCATTTTTCGGGTCCAAGTCCGACTTGATCTGACCTAACCCCTTGCCACCCTTACTTCTAAGGGAATGGGGTAGGGGCATCAGTGAATGGGTGCGAATGCCTCACTATGACGTCTCACCCTTCATTTCCACTTTTAACATTAAAAAAAAAAAAATAATAATAATAATAATAAGATATTGGTTCCTTTTAAGAAATAGAGCTTTCTACATAAAATGTGAAAATGAGATTTTTCCAACATACATTCACTCCCTCGCATAATGTTACAAAAATTTGGACGTGGTCAAGTAGGGTCTGTGAAGTTTTAACTATTGGAGGTATATGAAAAGAATTGAAAAGAGGTCTTCTTATTTTTAGATACGTGAATGCACTATGGTAAGATAACGTTTGTTCCTTATTGATAATAATCAGCGTGCATAAAGTTCTTTGGACAAATTTGCACACAAAATACTTGAAAATAAAAATAAAAAAACTTGTATGTCCAATGCATGAATAGCAAAATCACAGTAGCACCAGAATTGCCTTTCTTTTAAAGAGAGAATGCGTTGAGAAGGAAGAGATTCTTTTAGAGAGAGAATGCGTTGAGAAGGAAGAGAGTGTGTAAACGTGTATTTTACAAGTAAAATGAGACTGCTTACACTTTATAAATGTCTTAACGATTTTGATACAAATCCAACATGTTTGTCATCCTCGCACATATGCATCCCTGACATGGCTAAGCGATGTGATGCTTAGTCGTGCACTCACGCGATATTGTGATCCAACATCCATCATAACCGGATCCAGGTCCGGGAAAGTTTCGGGACCCGACGGATCGAGTCTACATCCAAAAGACTAGATCTGACCCGGTCATGTCCAGGTTTGAGTCGATTCAACCCAACGCAACCTGGTATATACAAGTATAAAATACAGTGCGTGTTTGCATGTGTGATGTGTGGGCCCAACCTGGCCGGTGGGTTAGGTCCGGATCCCAATGACTTGGACCCAACCCGTCGAGTCTGGGTAAATGTTATACCTAGTCGGTTCAGGGCCAATCCCCCTACCCAACCTGTTGCCACCCCTAGTCCATCACCGGTTGTCGTAATTTTGCCAACGAGAAACTGTGCAACAACGTGATGCCGTGTAGACAGCTTTGGTTAGTGACCCCAAAAAGTAAGCGAGGTTAGTGACCCCAAAAAGTAAGCGAACTTGCAATGAACTGAATCAAGAAGAGCAGTGGGTTTTAATCCCACGTTGGGGAGCGAAGAAGAGAATTGAAAATAAATAAATATTTAAATTCAAAGATGAGAATAAAAAAATGATTTGGAAGCCCTAAACCATCTAAGTAAGACGCACCGTATCATGTTTACTATTACCAAATCCAATTTTTTTACTATTTCCAAATCCAATTTTTCTTATGTTCATACATCTTAAAATCAAGATGATTGATTTGAGATTTTTTGAACATGAAACCGACATGCGCAGTAATTTGATGGTTTGGAGCCTCACCCTTGTATAAAATTTTTCCATATTTCAATTGTGTTCTACAAACCAAGCGGCAAGAAAACTCATTTTAGAGCAAGTAGCCTACAATCCAACGGACAAGAAAGCTCATGTTGTAGCACGTGATATGTATGCAAATGAGCGGACAAGTGCTCCACACGACACGTGCTCCTACATCAGCCTTCCCGTCCCTTGTTTGTAGTGCATAATAAAAGAGAGTATTATCATATTTAAGCACGACTCTTCTTTCCCCAATGACGGACTAAAAAACCTCCATTCTTTCTATATTAATACAAACTTGCACTTCTCAAAAACTACGATAAAATGACATTATTTCGATATAACAGCCAATACTATTCCATGGAAAAATACTGACAGGTAAAACCCTATTTGGAGGTAATTTTGAGGACCCCAAATTTTGTAACCTCAAACCTAGCGACTAACTGCAAAAAAGAAAATTTCATACGGATTCCATGTGCCAAGAAAAAGAAAAATGTATTGATATCTTCCTAAAAACGAGAATGTCTTAAAGTTGAAAAAAGAAACACCTCTCCTGCCCCCATCCCCCAACAAAAAATCAGATCTAAGGTTCAGGAACTCCAAAATCCAACTTTTTATTTAAATTACTGACATGTTGGTTCTAGAAAGAATCCCAAAGTTGCACATCGAAATTTCATTTCAAGTAGGGCTTTTGCTCGAGTTACAAAGTGTACACCATACACGCTCATCATATGTCATTAATTTTTTATCAGAATTCTCAACAAAGTTCTGTTTTTCTTCTATGGTTTTAAATACTGACTATTAGACATTAGATATCCCTATAGATCTCTATGAGATGAAGAATAGAACAAACTGGAAAGCACAAAGAATGCATACATTGATTGAAAGAACAATGTAAATTCAATCAGAATATCACAACACACCAAATATGTTAAAAACTTAATAGACAGACATCCATCAATACTGATGTAAATTCAATCAGAATATCACAACACACCAGTATGTGAAAAACTTAATAGACAGACATTCATCAGAGCTGGCCATCTAGTGTGGCTCAATTGCCAACATAAAACCTCCTACCATAATAATTTAACAACAACAAATTTGGTGACACCAATCCATTTGGAGGACGAAATTTATTGTGAATGAATATCACCAAGATGCAAAATTGATTTTTCAAACGTATGACATAACAAAGATGCACGCCAAAGAGGAGAGGTAATCCAGGAATCAGTGACTCAATAAGTATGGAGTTCTTCTCATCTTTTCACCAAGGAAATCAGCTAAACATGATAATTCGTTTAGGAATCTCAAAATGAAAGAGAAAAACACGAGTACAAAAAGGTCAAACCTGCAACTGAAAGAAGGCTAGGAACCCCAAAGCAATAAGAGAGGTCAAAACATTGGAACAGTCTCTCTCTGCTAGTTTGACCTCCCAAGATCTCTTGGGACAAAATAGAACTTGCCAACGACATGGAGAATGGCAACAAAAGCAATGAAACCTATGCTCATTACGAGGACGACAGTGGGGCTGATCTTGAGACCAGGGGCATCATCTGTGTAAAATTGCAACATTGTGTTGCCACCTGCTGCGGCTGCCCCAGACCCAGTACCACTGCCTCCAGCCCGACGTCTTCGTAAGTTCGCTGTTGCCGCAGCACTGCCTCTTGGAGGAGCCCCACCATTCGCCACCATTTTGCCTGAAAATTTCAGCACAAAATCAATAAGCAATGTGCTACTCTCTCTCTCTAACACACACACAAATGACTCGAAATTGTTCTTTGTTAATAGTAAAATACTCACACATACGGTAGCGGAAGCCTTAAGCAATGAATGTTTTAGTCATGACTGAGGAAGAAAAGTTAGCCATAGTTGAGCAAAAACCAACAAGCAACTGCATAACGAAAGACCTACATCTAGAACATAATGATAAAAGGTGTCCCTTGTGAAAGGTTTCTCAGGATATAATCATTAGTTTCAACAAAATGATGCCGTGCCCAAAAGTTTGATCTCGATATGGTCATCAGTTGCGACAAGATAATGTTTTTCTATTTGAAAACAAAATCCACATGGCAGGCCCTGGACTCTTTCACACTTTGGGCCGAAAATATCACTGAGCTAATGATTCAATCCTTGACCCTCTCTAAAGATAAGCTATTGCCTTAAAAAACCCTACCCATTCCATTCTAACCAATGTTTTAAAACCCAAATTGGGAGACTCGATGGGTCATCCACTTGACCAATGTGGATCGCTGATCGAGGCTAGATCAGACTCCTTCTCCAGTATGATAATCGACTTGAAAACAATTAAACAATATTTCAATTTGAAAGAAACTAAATATTGAAAGGAACAATAAAAAATGAAATGGGTGGGAATTGGCTGATCTAGATCATAGGATTTCCTGATAAACTCGCCCAATTCTCTAATAGAATTAGGTGAATCCAGTAATTTAAAAATCATGGTCTAGATGGGGTATCGTCCAATCTAGACCAAGAGTCAACTAGATTGAACCAATCCTAAGAAAAAATCAGTACCGGCCCAGTGCCCCTGACAACACCTGCTTTTATTTTATTTTTTCCTCTTTTTTTTAGCTTTTCTAATGCTTTCTTAGGTATCTTAGTAAGTGACAAAACATAAACCCCTCTCTAAATTTTTCTTTTTTATTTTTCTAGATCGTCAATTCAGACCAATATGGATCACGGCCATCTGACACAGGATTAGTGAGGTGGACCACCGATCCGTTTCTTTCAAACATTAAGGCATGCCCAATGTTTAAAAACCCCCTGATCTGGATAGAGAACTGCCTATCCAGATCGGGAATCAATCCTAGAGGAACCAATTCCCGATTAGAACCGAGAATTGGTCTGATTCACGCCAACTCACCCAGTCCACTTAGGCAACCAGGGATTCATATCGACTGAATCACATGAATCCCTAATAATGTATTTTTTATCAATTAGTTTTTTTTTTTTTTTTTCTATTTTTTTTGGGTTTTTAATTGACTGATTCTCACATAAGAGAATTGGTTGAATAAGTGTTTAAAAAACCATTGATACAGATCGAAACTGCACAATCTAAATCGGTTTTAAGGGAGTCGGGCCGGTTCCCGCAATATATCGGGAATTGAGCGGTTCCAGGTAGGAACTAGCCAGTTCCCTATAAGAACTGGTCGGTTCCCTGACAGAATCGTTGGTTCATACAGAGAACCGGTCAATCAGACCTTATTTTTATTATTTTCAGTTTTTATTTTCTCAAATGTTGATTTTATTCATTTTTCTTATCTATCATAAATTTTAATTTTATTAATTTTTCAAATTTTTTATTTAACAAATGCCCTACACATCTATGTGGATGACCCCTCAACCATTTGGTGTGATGGGGTGAGGATGCCTAAATATTACAAGGAATGCCTCCAATTTTTCCCCTAAATCCACGATGTGAGTTAAAACTTATTAGGGTGCAAACTTACATCTCCAGCAACATATGCACATTACAAGTTTTGTCTCACATCGGGGATGTGGGGGAAAAGTTGGGGGCATTTCTTATATAAAAGACCACCGACATTTAAGCATCTTCACCCCATTGCAAAAAATAGTAGTGGGGCCATTCCTATATATATGTTGGGCCCTTGGTAAATAAAGTTTTTTGAAAAATAATAACCTTTTAAAATTTATAACAAATAATGAAATTGAATAAAATAAAAAATTGAGAAAAATAAAAAATTGAAGAAAGTAATAAAAATAGGGCCTGATTTGCCAATCCCCAAATGGGTATCAACGGTTCTGTTAAAGAACCGATCGGTTCTTACAAGGAAAAGGCCGGTCCCTATCAGGAACCACCTCGTTCCTGATATATTGCAAGAACCGGTCAAGCTCCCCTAAAAAGCGAGCAGATTAAGCGATTCCAATCCAGATCGGCTTTTCTTTTTAAACACTAACTCAGCCAATTCTCTGGAGCAAGATCGATCAATTAAAAGTGAAAAAAATGAAAAATGAAAAAGGAAAATTCAATAAAAAAAATAGTGTCAGGAATCGAGTGATCCGATCAATCAGAAACCCCCAATTCCCCAATTCCCATACAATTCCCTTTGGGAATTGGGTGAACTAGCGTGAACCAGACCAATTCCCAATTCCAATTGAGAATCGGTTCATCTGGGACCGATTCTCGACCTAGATCGGCTATTCTCAATCTGGATTAGAAGTTTGTTAAACTTCGGATTCACCCTATTGTATAAAAGAAATGGACATTTTGTCCATCCCACCATCTTGTTGTCAAGCCGCCAGATTGTTGATCTAGATTGGCCCAAATCGAGGATCTAGAAAAAGTAAAAAATAAAAAAATAAGAGTTTATATGTTGTCATTTACTAAGATGCCAAAGAAAACATTAGAAAAGTTAAAAAGAAAAAAATATAAAATAAGAGATCTTAGAGGAGCACCAGGCCGGTACTGATTCCTTCTCGAAAATGGATCATCCCGGCCAATTCTCGGTCCAAATCAAACGATTCTTCATCCAGAACATGATTTTTTAAATCAATAAACTCACTCATTTCTGTCAAAGAATTGAGCGAGTCTATCAGGAAACCATGTAATCCAAATCAGCCAGTTCCCACCCATTTCATTTTTTATTGTTCTTTTCAACTTTTCAATTTTTCAATTTTCAAATTGAAATTATTATTTAATTATTTTCAGATCAATGCTCCTACTGGAGATTCAATCCGATCAAGCCTAGATCGGCGATCCAAAACAGTCCAACAAGTGATAGATCCGGGTTTCAACACATTGATTAGAGCTGAATGCGTAGGGTTTTTGAAGGAATTAGCTTGGCTTTAGATAGGGTCAAGAATGGACTCATTGCCTCAGTGATATTTGGGCCCAAAAGAGTCCAAGGCATGACCATGGTGGATCTTCCTTTCAAATGGAAACAAATCAAGATCAAACCTTTGGAATGTGGCCTCATAATGGGGAGGTGAAACTAAACTTCAATGGTTTCCTTGGGAAATGGGAGTGAGATAGGAGGCAATTCAAGGTTCTGAAGTAGGGTACCGCGAAAGGCTAGAAGATCCTTATGGCAGGGAGCACAGCCTATACAATGCATAATGCATATCCAAGGGATTTTGATCCAACCTTTTGGGGATCTTGATCCCAACCTTCTGAGGATTACACTCCCAACCTTTTGGGACAGTGCGGGAAATTAAGATCATTATTTAATTTTACAACTTCCACTACAAATAATAATTGAACAGTGTATTCTTGAGAAATAGATGTTTTTAAGACTACAATGTTTAATTCTTGCAAACATCAAACATCATAATCTTCAAAAGATTGGATTGCTCCCAACCTTTTAAGATCTCTTTCCCCTAATAGTAGGAATCGAGATCCAAAAATTTAATAATCAATAGCCCCTGAAAATCCCTTTTTAGGAGTCCTAAAGGGAGATTCTAAAATGGAATTGCCACATGGGTTGAGGAATCCCAATGATCATGAGCCCAATAGGAATTGGGGGGGACTCTTCGAGACAACTCATCTCAGATCATGTGATCCCTAAACTTCTTGTAGAAGACGACAAGCAGCTGTTATTTCATGGGCTTCCAGAACATCTCTTGCCCATGGAGACTCAAGGTCATCTTCAACCAATTTTTTGATGTCATTAAACCAATATATGCTGCCTTAGATAAGATGAGAGATTCTGAAAACCAATCCCCTCAAAGCCGATTCGGGCAATTTCGATCCGGATAGCCTTTTTTTTTAATACTGGTACGAACCAAATAAAGCCTGGATTCTTGATGATAACCAAGCCTTGTTAACTATAGCTGGTTGGGCTGAATTGAGGTTGTGAACTTGGCGAAATGAGGAGACAAAAAGGACCTAGAGGTGTTCAAGGTGTGTAACATAGTATCTCTACCAGAGCAGGAGACTATAGAGCATTCCTGAGAGATAATAAGGAACTAAACTCATATATTTCAGGGTCCAAAAGCCTCCCCCTCAAAGTGGAGGATGAAATCACCTATCTTTCAATGACTTTGAAGGGTTGTCCAACTGCAGCCTCCTGGATACTTCCAGTAGAGAATAGCCTCGGGTAAAGTGATTCCAAGGAGGAGGGGTGGACCCAAAGGTCTTTTCACAGCATGATTTCACACCCATTTTGGCCCTAAACCCATATGTTGTTAATGGAATTCAGGTCACCAAGGCTATGGCCTTCCAAGCATTTGAGGCATTGAGATTTTCTCGACCATGGGGGAGCAACCTGAGCTAACACGCCCGTATATGTGACAGATCATTTGCTACCACAAATGGCCCTCTTTGTTCGAGAAACACCACCACCACTTCCTCAAGAGTGCTGAGTTACGCTACCTCACTTTCCTTATTCCCAGCCCTCCATATTTCTAAGGAGTACAAATAATGTCCCACTTTACTAGGTGGAAATTTCGGGCACCCACCGTACCACACCACAAAGAATATCGTCAATCTCTCTAACCTATTAATCAAAGACATCGGCATCCTATAGAGGGGCAACTGGAAAACAGGAATCTTAGAGCGAGTCACTTTGATGAAAGTGACTATGTTGTTTAAGAAACGACAGCAGCAGTTCCAAGCTGCAAGTCTCCTGCCGACCACTCTGTGACTCCTCCCATTGGACTTCACGATGTCTTCCACAACAAATAGGGAAGCCTATGTACTGGCACTGAAGGGAATCCGTAGTAGAACCCAGTCTTTTTGCTACCATCGATGCCTCACTCTGGCGCTATCCCAGCAAGCTTCTTGGTTTTGGCCACGGTCACCTTAAAAGCAATTAAAACTCAAACTGAAAAGAAGGAATGTCACATTGAGGTTCAAATCCTTGGTTAGTACCAAACAAAAGAAGGCAGGTCACATTTTAAGATTCTTGACAATTAAATTAACAATCCAGATGCCGCATATAATCAAAACAAAAACAATTTCAAAGAGATAGGTGTCAAGCCAATGAGCATCACATGGATTTGAGATTATATATTACTTTCTTCATTATTTCAAACCAAGAAGAACATTGGCTGGATTAATAATAGTTCAGATATTGTTAGTTACTAGCTTAGGGCTCCCTTTCTCCATATAGGCATGGTCCATGCATTTACTCAAATGAGACTGCCGAAGTGGACCTTCCATATCAATGCATTAGTGTTGCAATGTCAAAAGATAAGCCTCCACTTTAACTAGTAAGCTCCATGCTCATGAGGATTACCTCCAAACATCAGGTAACAATTTCCATACATAGCACATTGCCGTTAAATCCTAAAAGGATCTTCTGTTGAAAAATTCAGCAAGAAACAGTACCACAAGATACAAAATTGAAAACATTGAGGCTAACAATGCACTTCAAGCAACATTGTCCCACTCAAAAGAGCAATCAGCTGGATTAGAGATTCAGAGATGGCATGGATGCTAGCATTAAAGTAAAATTAAGAAAAGGTTCTTTACACACACAAGCATGAAAGAAATAAAAGGATAAAGAGGAAAGTAAAGTAATATTTTGAAGCAAAGAATTGAACTGGTTTAATATTTGCATGGTCAGGTTGTGTAAAGCATTAGGCTATCAAGCACTAAATATAGGTCCCAGAAGAGATGAATCAGCATAAAATCAAAGCCAAATTCTTCTTATGAGGAGGACCATAATGATTATGGGTTCAACTCTTTCCACCTACTTTGGAGCAGCATACTTCGGGAAGACGTAAAAGTTCAACTAACTTCCCAAGATGAGATTGTTTATGAACTCTTGTTGTTAGATACCTGTTTACTAAAATTTTGTTATTGGTAATGACAATGTCTATTAAGGGAACAAGCAGAAATTAACCATGTTCTAGGGGAAGCCAACAAATGAGGAAGATTCCCTGGCCAAAGAGGGGGTTTTAAGAGTACATCTAATGTTAAGGGATTCTATCCCCTCAAAATCAATGTTATTAAGACCAAACCAGATTGTCTGATTGGTTGGACTGATAACTAGTCCTGTCAGATCACCAACCAAAAATTGTCCAAAGCATGTCAAAAACAGGCCTGAACCAACTGTCTCTATCAGTTGAACCAAATGGTTCAAACTGGTTTGAACAGTTTTTTATACTTTTTATTCGTATTTCGCAGAACAATGCAAGTCCAAAGATTTGGACCGGACTGGTGTACACGCCCCTTTTATGATGGGTATGGTCCTAATAACATTGCTCTGAATGTGTATACGGCGCTGTTTGCCTGTGCTTTTCCCAACTTGATGCATGCCCAATTAAAAAATTTATTGTGAAGTCAATCATCTAAAACAACAAGAAGCATAGAAAGAGTCTATAGAAAGTAGGAGTGCATTTAAAAGCAAGATCGTGTGGGGCAAATTGGAATCCAACAATAGTGAGGGGTAAATCGAACCCAACAACAGTGTGGTTAAGACTATATGATTAAATGGCACATATCTAGGTTTAGGAATTTCACTGAAGTTCCATAAAATCCCTACTAGAAAGAGAACGATCAAATCATAGAAACAAAGAAAATTCCAAGAATTTCGTAAGTTTTAAAAGGGGCCTTTTACTCCCAATTGCAAAGTAAAATCACAATATGCGTGCAAAGGAAAATCTCCTTAAATGAAATTCTCATGTCAATTATAAATTAAAATCAAAGTTTAGAAACTCGGCTCAGGCTCAAGACTAGGCCCTTGCCTGAGCTGAGTATCTCAGGCGAGTCCTAGGGGACTCACTCAAGTAGTGTATGAGCATTAAAAAGGCTCAACTAAGAAATAATTTAATATTTGATAAAAATTAAAAAGGGTAAAGCAAATTAAAAGGAATTCAAATTCTATAAAAGATCGAAAATTTGCATAAAAGATGGAACATGGAAGAATTTGATTTATAGCTCAGAAGAATTTGAAAAATATAGATTGTAATAAGAAAATTTCACAAATCATGATAAGAAACCAAACAAAGCATATGAAAATACATTTATACAGCATTGATTAGTGATTAAGTAATATTAATTGTAGAGAAATAATAGAATTTCTATAACCCTGAGTTTGTAGATACAAACTTGCCTCAGCACCCTAACAAGGCAGGCCAAGTCCGAGTGGACCTGCCAGGTCTCAAAACACTGATTAAAACAACATACAACAACAATTCTTCGGCAGAGAACTGGCACAAACAATCCATCGCATGATCCGAGCCCTTCTTTAACTAAACTCAGGAATTAAACAACAGACTATAATTAAAAAGAGAATTACATACTAAAAATATGTATCAATTTGGAGGCAACAAACACTAGCATAATATGCCATTTCAAAAAAAAAAAACACTAGCATGATATAAAGTGTCCATTGCGCCCCTAAAAATCATCATACAACATGTTCAAGAGTCAAGACCAAAATCCACACTGCATATCTTTGAAACGTTCATCCCTAAGATAGGATATTATAATGCTTAAAATGAGAAATCTATATTAAGCATGAACAAGCACATCTACCATTTCTATAATTTATTTTCCAGCATTTTGCACTGTTTATTAGGAGGAAAACCCATCAATAAAGCACAAAAACGTATAAGAAATTCTGGTTAAATAAATCCTTACAGTAGCCCCAAATGCACCATAATTTGCGCAATAATCTAACTTAACTGCTCAGAAACTCCATAGAGCAAAAATCGGAGGATCAAAGTGAGAAACATAAGCAACAAAACACGCAAAAACAATCGAGATTCATGTGAAATCAAGTAAATATTGATTAATAGATACAGATTTAAAGGAAATGAGACCTTAAACCCTATTAATCTAATGAAGTAGATGAAGTACAGATCTTGAAAAGATGAAAAACATGCCATACTTACAGAAAAAGATCCTACCCGAGACACTAGGGTTTTTTGTACATCAACCTAACAGATCGCCCTTGAGGAAGCTCAGGATGTTAATGGCGGCTAATTGATTTATTTCTTCTACACCCCACGGGACTCCGTGTGTAATTATTATATTCTATGGTATATGGTACACGTGTCGTGTAGTTGTCTTTTCGGAAGACCATACTATATACACGTCGACTCGTATAACAGGACGTGAGACCCGAATGAGTTATTCGAGCTCGGCCAGCCGGGCCGAGTACGTGGATGAAATCGTGGATAAAATCGGGCTAATTAAGAAAAGGAACAGAGTGCGGTTTGTATAGAGCCTAGGTCCTAAACAATCAAATTAGAGCCTACCTTCAAATAGTATCGAGAAATGTGGTTTTAATATTGAAAAATCTCAATGATAACTTTAAAGTATATTTTCATTTTTATATGAAAACTTGAAAATATTTGACAGTCCAATAATGCGTTACAAAATACACTATTTCTAAAACTTGAAATCCATTTTTTTCTAATGTCCATACATCTTGATGTCGAGATGATCAATTTGAAGATATTTGGGCATCAAACAACTTCTTCTAATTAAATTTTTGAGGTAGGCTCAAATTTGATTGTTTAGACCCTCGGCTCTATATAAACTTTTCCCAAAGGAAAATGCTATGATAGAGTTGCGGAATATCAAAAGGGATCGTGTACAGTGAGGCCATTTACCTTTTATACAAGGAAGTAACAATTACTTGCAACCATCCAATGTGAAATTTGATAGCTTGAGTGTATCATAAAGTTCAAAAAAATTTCTTTTAAAGTTTGAGCTTAGTCAATGGAATAAATACAATCACCCAATTTCACATCCAATGGTCAAGATCAATTGTGACTACCTTGTACTAAAGGTAAATAGTCTCATTACATACTTTTCCATATCAAAATGAGTAAAAGCATCACTTCAAAATCTTTTTTTTTTTTGACAAATGTCACAAAATTTATTAGTAACAAAAAATTACATTGTCAAATTACATCATTTAAAACAATCAAAAAAGGCAACGAACCACCAGATTACGCAAGATCATCTGCTCAATCATTGGCCTCTCTATACACATGAAACAAAATAATCCTCGGCACAGCCAAGTCCAAGATCTCATTCCATATAGAGTTTAATTCCCATGGCACCCTTTGTTCCTTAGGGCACCACTTAATAACATTCATAAAATCCCCTTCCAACATGCAACACTCTCCCAAATTTTTACTCTTGAAAAGCTTCAATCCATGATATAGTGATAAAATTTCAGCATGATCCACAGTAGCAATACCAATGGATCCTGCATAGGTGAAGATCGATGCCCCTCTCCAATATCTCAAAACCCTTCTTATACTTGCTGGCCCAAGATTGCTTGCTTAACTCCCATCGAAGTTTAGTTTGTACCAACCTAGGTGCGATGGAACCCAAATACTTCGTGGCATGCTTATCACCAAGCCCATTTTGAACAAATTTGGTAAATTTAGTGAGACATACACAGTCGCTCCCCACCCTTCTTTTGTAATAGATAGTATATTATTGAGCACTCTATCAAATGGTAAAACAACTCCTTCGAAGGTTCGTCTGTTACGTTATTTCCAAAGTTCTCACATAGTCTTCTCCTCTGGCAATCTTCCACAAAATACTACTTTCGGTAGATTTTGGAAGGCCAATTGTGTAACAATCCCCACAACATTCTCTGGCAAAGCGGCTCTCATATCCATCATAGAGAATAGAATACACCCAATTCTTGAAGTAAGGTGGGATCCAAATTCTCCATCCTGCTTTTTACATAAGACAAATGTTAAGAAAATTTTTACCTCTTTTAATTAAGTAATCTATAGTAACTATTTTTTCTCGAGCCGCTAGCTATAAGAAAGCTTGCAACTTGTGGGGAATCGGCCATTTTCACACTTAAGCAATCCGTGGAAATGATCACCACCATCTATCATGAAAATAGTAATCTATACAATGTTTTCACTAAGAATTCCCCATCACTCTCCATATCCCAAATGACTTCATCTTCCAAGCTACGAGGAAAATAAACTTGATCAAGGTCCTTCAACAATGCCCTTGGACTGTAGAGCACTTCAATAATCATTAAAATTGTAGTTTTGACATTGAAAAACTTTTAAATCGATCATATTAGCCTTGACCATTATAGTTGTGAAAAAAAATTAGAATTTCAAACCTTAAAAATTGTATGTATTGTAAGACATTATCTAGACCATCTATTTTGTCTTAAAAATAAGTGTTCACAGATTTATAAGATCTTTATTATTTTTTAAGCTTCAAATTTCATAATTGATATTGAAACTTAACTTTAGAGGCATCATGGAGATTTTTATACTCGATGTGCTTTATGGACAAGGATTTGAGATGATGCTTTATTTTGAAAGCCTTGGCCTATAAAAACTATATACTCAAAAAACAAAAAAAAACAAAAAGAAAGAAAAAATATCTCTATACCCCCTCTCATGCTTAGGTAAAACTTCAAAAGATCACCACTAAATTTGATACCTATCTCTATAAAAATTAAGTCTCATGCGATAATTTTTCTTTTTGTTCGAGATATACGTCAAATTTAACGGTGATTCCCTTAATTCTACTTGATTCATCGATATAAAAAAATGTTGGGGGCCGAAGACGCCGGGAAAGTTAGAAATTTAATTTCCTACATTTGCTTGAGTGCTCTTTTAACATTTTCGACTGAAAAAAGTGTCGTTTCCACGCAACATCTCTCTCTCGAACAATCGAAAAACATCTCTCCGTATTATGTTTGAGCATAAAATCAGTATTCAAGCAGCTGCTTTCTCTTCCTAAATTCACCATCTGCAAAGCCATTAACCTGGCTCTTTTAAGGCTTCGATTAACAATTCAATAAACAAAAATGGTGAATTTGATGTTAGAAATCAAAGGTGACTTGGAGAATCTCACCAATCTCCAGCCGCAAGGTGGATGTGACGACCCCAATTTCTCTTACTACTTCAAGGTAGGTTTACTGTCTGTTTCTGTCTCTCTCTCTCCTCTTCATTTCGCTGATAATCCTCTTTCTCTTCTTACTTTTTTGGTTTTGAATCTTTGCATTTCCATATCTCTTGGCTCTTATGTGTCAAACATGATTGCTATTCTCTCTCTTTTATTTATGGGTTTATGGATTTTTTTTTGCCATCGTTCTTTCCTTAATTTTTGAGGCATTTCACTTTCAATTATGGTAACAGGTGAAATGTGGGAATTGTGGGGAATTAAGCCAAAAAGAGACCTGCGTTACACTCTCAGAAACAGTCCAACTCCCCAAAAGCAAAGGCTCAGCCAATCTAGTTCAGAAGGTAGTCCCTTTTTCAGTTTGTTATTTGTCATTTCATTTCTCAACTGGTAATTTTTTATTTATTTGTTTTTCTTATTTGATGGTCACTTTTGCTTTCCTGGTTTATTTCATATGCATCAATACATGTCAAACTTTTTCTTTTATTGCTTATTTTTTTTGCCTTTGCTTTATTGTGTAGTTGGGTAGGTTAAGAAATAGAATGAGCATGAATTGTAGTGGTTGAGACAAATAGTTTTTTTTCTAATTATTTTTATGCTTGTCTTTTGAAATATTTGTTTTGTGAACTGTGGTTATTTAGCATTGGTGGAGTTTTTCCAACTGCAGGTTTAATGATATGGTTAGCATAAAGTGAGGGCTGTTGTTTTTTTGCGATTCTGGTGGATTGGATCTTTCTTACTGTAGGTTATTTGTCGGGCAAAGGTTAGGAATAAAATATTTGGGCTTCTCTGTGGCTTGAGTGGCTGCTTGATAGCATATGAATTTTTTGTGGACGCAATGGACTCCATTGAAGCTGCCTACTTGTCATCATCATCATCAGGGCCTTTTTTCAACTAATTGGGGTCGGCTATACTAATCCTGGTCCACCATTTTGCTCTATTAAGGGTCATACCCTACAGGAGGCTATAGGTCCCCGTATTTTTACTTTCTACTTCTAACCATGTCCTTTTGGGTATACCCCATGCCCGTTTTTGGCTTTCCACTTGAACTAACTCTCATCTTCTAACAGGTGCTGTACTGGGTCTGCACCGAATATGGCCAACCCATCTAAGTCTATTTTCTCTCATCTTATCGCATATTGGTGCCACTTCTAAATTGTCACAAATATTTGCATTTGGAATTTTATCCTTTCTTGTCTTGCCACTGATCCATCTCACCATCCTTATTTCCGCTATACCCATTCTATGGGTATATTGTTTTTGACCACCTAACATTCTACTCCACAAAGCAAAGCTGATCTCACAGCGGTCCTATAGAACTTACCCTTTAGTGTTATTAGTATGTAGAGATCACGTAATATTTCGGTTGCACATCTCCATTTCGCTCACCCAATTCTAATTCTATATGTAACATCTTCTCCAATCTCTCCATTAGATGCAAAATTAGATGACTAGTGTTGGTTTTTCTTTAAACTTTGAGAGCAATCAACGTTACACTCCCAGCCACTTGATTTGATATCTGAAGGCTTGGAGTGGTCATAACCTTTTTGTATGAAGGTGATGGTTGTAATTGTCTCCCTATGATTTTTCCCATTTTTTTGTTAGGTTCCATACTTTTATGTTTTCTCTATGATTATAACTAAGTCAAGGTTGTCCAACTTGATGTATACCTGTTCTCTACTATTGGACCTCCTAATCTATTCTTGCCTTGGTCCTCCTCTGGGGCTCATGTTGCAGGGGTTAGAAAATTAGTTTTCATGGAATGTGCAATAGGAGAACATAAGCACTAGACCGTACACAGATCTGAGTTGAAGTGAAAGAAGACACTGTTCTTTCCAACTAGGTTATAGTCATTTGGTAACATGAAATGCTTAAACAAGTGATAGAATATATCAAAATTTTGCTCAATATGCTGCAGATTAGGACATAATAGCAACCGATATATTGGAAGAATGAAATCAAACAGTACCAAATCAAAGAAGGCCAACAAGCAGCAGGAACATGACAATGGTCAATGGTTGCAAGTTCCGCCATATATAACCGATCCAACCACTCCAGGCTGAAAACAAAGAGCTGTCTTCTATCCCCTCCAGCCTTGGATCTAGATTTGATTCCCTTGTTTATGAGGATGCATATTTAGTGGAAATTCAATTGTGGGAAAGTTTCAAGTATTCAAAGTTCCAAGAAAGAAAAAGTTTCAAGTATCCAGAATCCCTCAATCTTGCAGGAAAAAGTAGAAGAAACACATCAGATGATGAAGAGGCTGTTTGGCCGACTATAAAAAGAGAAACATCAGGCAAAAACTTGCTTGATAAACGATAAAATAGTGAAAAAGCATGGAAGAAAAACAAAATTAGTGACCTCAAATTTTAGGTTGAAAGAACCGGGAAAACAAGATACTATCAGTGATATGTTACTGGAAAAAGGAGAGCCTATGATGATTGTAACATAAGAACTCCTCTTGCAGAATCCTTGCCACAAATATAGTTTGACGTTGTCAGGAAAAAGAAGGGGGCATTAAGGGTATCAGAGACATGAACAATAAAACCCATTCACAAACAAAAACAATCAACAAGGTCTGCATCAACCATTGGCTCAATGCTTATTAATTATGAAAAAAGTAAATGTCCATTTAGTCTCTTCATTGTCAGAAAGATGGCTGCTAATGACCTTACCATTAACCTAATTTAAGTTCAATGAGGCACCATGTCAACTAATCATTCCTATTATAATAGCTTATTTGATGAAATGATGAGAAAGGGTAAACTGGTCATCCATATGACAATGTTCCAAGAGGCAAACTAGACAAAAAAGAATAGGAATGGGACAATTACTGTTCCAACACCATTTCATGTACTTTATATTTGTGGCATTCACAAAAAACTATCCTAGGACTTCTTACATTGTACATTTAAGTCAGTTTTAGATAAATACAGCACAAGCATAGTACAAAAGTATTCGATTATTCATGAAGGACAAATGTGCCCTTATGGGTCAAACCTGTCTACGCTTTCTCTTAAGTTGGTGATTAAATTCTATGAATGCCCAAGTTGCTAATTTATCCCAACCTTCCCGCAAAGTCCTTTAGTAAAAAGGTTTGCAAGCTGTTTAGTGGTCTCACATAAGAATTGGAGATTTATTTGAAGTTACTTTGTTATGCACGTAGTGATAATCAACCTCAATTTGTTTATTGCGTTTTTGGAATCTTGGGTTGGTTGCTATGTGGATGATAGCCTGATTATCACAATATAGAGGGATGGACCCCTGAAAATGAAAACTCATATTTTTAAGGCTGCTCTCAACACACACCAGCTCATTTGAAGTTGATGCAATAACTTGATACTCTACTTCTTCATTGGAGCCAGCTACAAAATTTTGTTTTTACTATGTAATGTAATAATATTTCCCCAAACAAAAAGTGCAAGAGTCAATGGTGGATCGCCTTTTAAGAAGAAATCCTGCCCAATCTACATAGATATATCCAATTTTTAAAAAGCGGAGGTGGCATACAATTTTTAAAAAGCGGAGGTGGCCGCCGAGGTGGGTGCAGGTATCCCTACAAGGGGGGTGGGGGTGAGGTGTGGAGGGGCATCTATTATATCTAATATATGTATGTATGTATATATATAATTTCTATATATGTAAATATGTATACATATATAAGTGTGTGTGTGTGTGTGCGCACGTGTGTGCGTGGGTGCATGTGTGTGTGTGTTGCACACGTGAGGCCTCGCATCAAATACTTAAAATTCATCTTCTTTTTTCTTGTCTGTTTTCTTATATAGTGTATGTGAGAGCATATGCACCTGTGTGAGAGAGAGAGGTCTCAAATTGAACACTTGGAGGACATGTTCATGTTTCCTTCTTTTGATATGTGGAGAGAATATGAATTGGTGAGAGAGGGAGGCCTCACATCGAACACTTGGAGGTCATCTTCTTTTTCGTCTTCTTGTTATATATAGAGAAAGAGCAGATTAAGGCCTTAACTATACTTTTTTTTTTAAGGGGACATTGTTTTTTTTTTTTTGTTCTTTTTTTTGGTAAATTTATGGGATGACACTAGGTGTATATGGTTTTGGGGTCTAGAATAGCCCCTTAAACCCTTTTCCCCCGTTTTTTGGGGAAAAAAGTACTTTTTTGACCTTGCTGAGGGCATTTTCCTCATTTGGCTAAGTTGCATCTGGTCTCTGCTTAGGCGTCTGGCTTAAGGTGAGAGCCTAAGTTGCGCCTTGGGCACCTAGGAGCACTCCCACCTAGGGCACGTCTAGGTGTTTTTAAAGCGTAGGAGGCCAGGTGGCCAAATTCTTTGAAATTGGATATATCCACATAGATCAGTCGTGCATAACTATCCTCTTCTCTGGCGGCTGACTTTTTTAACATTGGATATATATTCATATATCCCCATAGAGTAATGTGAGTGTTGTCGTGAATAAGTATCCTCTTCTTGGAGATGATTTAGTGCGATTGACTAGTTTAAGATGGCTAGCAGGTGGAACATGTATGAATTGGGTCACCAAGTTAACTGCAAAGATGATGTTTGGTTGAGTAATGGTCCCACCAATCACTGGTACTAACCAACATCCTTTAATGACATACTAGTGCTGAGTTCTGGTTTGAAATTTGGGTTTACTGGTATCCATGGGATGGCCTGCAAACCTCAATGCCCATACTCCCATATACTTAATATTGACCTGCGCGTGCATATACTCCTTAAGCTTTTGGGTTTCTTTAGTATACACCCAATGAGAATGATATCACCAACACATACAAGTAGAATTGCATCCCTTGTTTTTGTTTCTCACAAACATGGAAAGATCTGAGGAGCTACTTGTATATCTGACATGTATTTTGGCTTGGCTTATTTTCGCTTTCCATGCTCGAGGAGATTGTTATAGTCCATAGATGTTTTCTTAGGATATAGGGCCTGGTGGTGCCTTGTGACCATGACCTAATGGGCATTGCATGTGGACATCTTCCTCTGAATCTCATGGGGGAAAACATTATTAACATCCCATTGGTATAATTGACAATTCTTATTTGCTGCAATAGAAACCCGAACAATTCCTATCTTACCGACAAGAGCAAATGTCTCATGGTAATTGAGTCTGTAATACTGGGTAAAGCCCTTGTCCATGAATCCAGCTCAGCACAAATCAATGTACCAATTAGGATAGTCTAACCTTATATAACCATCTGCATCATGCTTCCTTCTTTCCCTTAGGCAAAGAGTCAGATCCCAAGTCTATTTTTTTCAGGCGCCCTTATCTTCCAAGGCATTTCTCCATTTAGAAGATTTTTGGATATGAAATGGCATCACTGGAAAGAGTGTAATGCATATAGGATA